AATCTCAACTCTATATGCTCAGGTAGAAATGTTTTCTAGTATGCAATGTCTTTGTGTATCTTTGACAGTGCCATTCTCTGAAGAACTTTGAAGAAAGTTACTGAGAGCAAAATGTCCAGCATCATCTCTGCAGACGAACTTGCCAGAGTACGAGGCATTAGTGAGACAATGTATAGATTCCATCACATCAAAACTGTAGGGCAAATGAGCCAGAGGTTCAAAATGGCATCTGGAGTCCAGGAAACAATCAAAGTTGAGCCAGGCAGACAGCACCACATCACTCTCAGCTATATGCAGTGGGTTAGGGTTGTGTCTCAAATAATTTGTTTCACTAGTAAAGGAGGAAGGGAAATTACTTTTAAATGCATTTTGTTAAGTTTTGATTTGTTGTTTTTTGCCCCCCGCAGAATATGCAGAGTTCTTGCACTGTAAAGGGAAGAAGTTTGTGGATTTTGACGAAGTGCGGCTGGAGATTGAAGCAGAAACCGACCGAATCACTGGCTCCAACAAAGGGATCTCCCCCATCCCCATCAACTTGCGTGTTTACTCGCCTCATGGTAAGAAAGCCACTAAATTCTAGGGAACTCAAACACAGTAGCTGAAGTAAAGCAGTCCTTTGAAACTGGATCTTTCTTAGTAGCCACTGTCCACCAAGATATGCATTGGTGTTCTGTAAGTGGAGGCCTGGTGTGCTGTTAACCTCATTGTTCAGTGGTAAGAGTCTGGCCATGCGGCCAAGGTGTTGGGAACTAAAATGGGCTAAAGGGCTGCTTTATTATTAATGATTCTGTATAATTCTATACATGATCTCGTGTGTCGCTGGTCTTTGTAATAGTTTCAGACTATTGCATTTACTTAACCTCACATTTGTTCATTTTTATTGCTTTCATTTAATACAGCTGATCTGAGATGATAGATTGTACTGACTTAGTACTTAAAGAGGTTAAATGTAAGGCAGCAATCTGCAGGATATTTTGCTCATTTTGTGGCTAGTAACTAGATGATCCAAGGATCTCGTTTAGTCATTTCTTAAATAATCCCAAGGAAATCAGCCTAAATAACATGAGGATAGATTTTGCCAGCCACCTTTTATGTAAAGAGCCTCCCATCTTTTGAATGCACTTTCTCATCAATGCTATTTGTCGACGAAACCTTGTTTCATTGCTGAGGGATCAGTTGGGTTCACCCTGTTGGTAACCTTTTGGGTCTTGAGAACTTGTAACAAGTCTACTCATATTCTTCCCTTGTTCATGATTGGTGAGATTCAATTCTACATGACTATCCACATGCAGTAACCACATTAATAGAATTAGAGGTGGGAAAATAATTTGCAGAGTTAAATAAGATTATAAAATAATGGTCAGCACAATGTAAACCTTTCATACAAAACCCAGTGAAAACTGTTGAGCTGGAACCTTTCATGAATTTACTGAGATAATGGGATAGATTTATTACTAGCAACCACACAGGATGAACCAAGAACCTCACTGTGGTTTTGACTTTTTGACAATATTGCGGTATAACGCTCAAACCAATAGAAAATCGATGGATAGCCATTTACTTCAGCATCATCTTGACGCTTTATTGATAAATAAAAGAAAAGCTCATTCTAAACAACATGTGTTTCGGTATGAGGAACATTGCAGTCTATAGCCCCCCTCCCGCCCACAGTGTTGTGGGAGATCCTTCATCGGAAGAGTTGGACACAGTCTTGTACAGATTTTTAATAAGCTCAATAACTACAGCAATGCACTTTGGGTCTGCCCTACAGGAGAGACACTCTGCAAGATTTTCCCAACTCTTATATACAGTACAGGCTCAGAAAGAAGTTTGTTTCCTCTTCTATATTTAATGACATCTTCTTTGATAACAGAAGTAGTTTTGCTTGTCTTGTTGCCTGCTGCTCTTTGAGGGTTTGTCCTGTTTTATGATATGACAGGGGTTGTTTGCCCTGTCCTTTGATGTTGTTTATCCTGTTTTATGGTATATTTATGAGTGTTAGTAAAGGAAATTAGCTTCTGCAGCTGATAAACTAAATAAGCTTCATTCTGTTTTGACATCACATTTGGTAAAGGCTAAAGGAACAGATTCCAGCGATTAATTTAATAGTTATGATCTGGAGAAGTAGTAATATTGCAGTACTGGATATGTACAATATTTCCATGTCTCACTTCACGTTATCCGCCCCGTGCCGGGGGCTCTTCTTTCTCCCCTGCGCAAGTGCTCAACCTCACCCTGATCGACTTGCCCGGCATGACCAAGGTGCCGGTGGGCGACCAACCACCTGACATCGAGCACCAGATCAGAGACATGCTGCTGCAGTTCATCAGCCGCGAGAGCTGCCTCGTCCTGGCTGTCACCCCGGCCAACACTGACCTGGCCAACTCCGACGCCCTGAAGATCGCCAAGGAGGTCGACCCGCAAGGTGAGATCAATGTGCTCACGTGCTGGCGTGACACGATAGTGACCACTGTAAGGATCGGGTTCGGGCTATCAGGAATAGATAAACCAGACATCGGTGAGATGTTTTCTTTTTGACTCTCGATGTGAGCACAACTGTCTGCTTGTGGAAATCCAGAACTGGAAACTCAAAAGAACAAAGCAAGCTCCTGAAGGCAGACAGGTGAGGTCAACCCCCTTCAGGAGACCTGGAACCAGAACCAAAGTCAGGGCTACAGAGGTGAAGTGATCTGTAACAAACAATTGTTCCAAAAACCGCATCTCAATAGCCACTTCGTCCTGCTGGCTAAACTGACAAATTACCTCATCCTATGGTTAGGAGAAAACCTTCTCCCTGTCTGTTACTTAAAGTTCATTAGGGTATTTATAACAATCTACATGCTGCACTTTTGTTTTTGTTTTCAAGTCATACATAGCTTATTGATCAGAAAATGTCTTTGTCAGCTGTCTACATGTATTTTTTGTCAAGTGTCATACAACATATTTTTATCAAAACTTGCTAGACATAATCCATTTTTTGTAGACTACAGGATAACAGTGCTCTGGTTACTGTTATGTTAAACAAAATATAAAATCTGATCCTTTACTCCCTTAATACATTTCGATTAAATTAAATTAAATATTCCCCCATATATACTGTATATCAACATATGTAGATCTAATTGGTTAACATAATGCTCATTACCATCCCAGCTACCCACATGGTTTACATGCCATAATACTTAGTCTCCCTCATCTTCATCACAAGAACCCTCTACCAGATAATAATGAGATCCCCATAGCAGCCACTGGACACCGTGATTGATAATCTTTTGTCTTCATTATGTGCTTTTTGGGTTTCATTTGCTCCCAGCAGTTAGGATATGGCAAAGGTCACAGCTTTGTGCAGTCAATCCCTTGATCTGTTTTAAACAATCTGATTATTTTCCTTCTGCATATAAGGATTGATTCGGGATGCACATCACTGTTTTCACTTGATAATTGAGAAGTTACTTGCCAGTGTAGTGTGCTCTCTGAAGGTACCAGTTCTGTAGGGTTTTGGCATTTACTGGAACAATTATTAATTGTAGCAGTAAATCACAAAATTGATTCTTTTGATGGCTTTAGAATCCAACCATGCGATATAACTCAAACAACGCACACACACAGGTACTAATACACGAGGATACATTTATTAATCCATAGAATATGCATATAAACCTAACAGATCTTATCGAGAGGGTTATCAGAATACAAAAGGTATATTCAGTCAGTTACGAAGTGTTACATATATCAAGAGGACATACGTTCAGTATATCATTCATTTATACTGTTTCGTAAATGCACTTGGTTATAACTTCTACATTAGATACTCAAAACAAGTACATAACTCTTAGGAATTAAATTGATATCAACTGATTGGGATAACAACTGAATTCTCGAGCTGTAATGCATTGAAGTTGAATACTCATCCAATCTCTGGGGATTCAGATCTCCTGCGGGCTCTCTGGCTCCATGCCAGGCTGTGCTGTGCAACTTGCGACGGTGTGCTGCTGATGTTCACTGACCGGCTAGTTAGTGTTGGCTTTAACTAGCAAAGTTAGCACAGGAAAAAAGATGACTGTGGGTCCCAGCAAGTCAGGAAGAGGACCGGTTCGTTCCTGATGAAGAGCTAGTTCTGAATAGTGATTCAGCTGTCCACAGTTCTGACCTGTTCATGAGGCCTGCTGCTGGTGCTAACCTCGGGTGGATCCTCTGGTTACTCTCTGGCAACCTCGGCTCTAGACTCTCGGAACAAAGGAAAGTTCTGGCACTCGGACACACTGGCCGTTCCGTGGTTGTCCGGGCTGAGTCTCGCGCTGCGAGAATGTCCTGCCCTTGGGAGCCTTCTGCTCCTGGGCCATCCTGCCCTGGAATTCTCCTTTGAATTCCCTTTAGAAAAGTCCACAGAATTCTCTCAGGCCCTCTGTGTTGCCTGTTTTTACCTGGAGGAACTTCAGCTCGTTCATTGGCTGCAAGTTCCATGGGCATCAGAGTCCCACGTCGGTTACTCGGCCCTACCAGTCCCTGATTGGTTGATCAAGGTGAGATATGAGTCACTTACTCCTGAAACCTAGGAATGCAGTCCAGATGTCCATCTGGCACTCAATGGATGACCATTGATCATGATAGCCTTATCAAAAGAAAACATCTTTAAATCAGCCTGCATGTGTCAGCCACAGAGATGAACAGAGAGATGGGGCCTCATTTGGGAAAGCACCGCAACACTTAATTCTGTCTTATTAACAAGGATTGCCGCTACACCAGTTCAGATTATTGATAGGTGATATCAGTGCCGCACCTTTTTTCTTGCGTTGAATTTGCTAAAGCACAAAGTGTGCTCTTGATTTTGGATGCTGCGTTTTGAGTTGCCAGTTTGATGCCTGTGGTTTAAATTCAAGGCAAGTTTGACATTCGGGAGGCTATATCTGTTTGCAATGGTGTAGAGCACCCCGCTTTGAACTCCTTGTGGGAATTCAAGGCCAACAAAAGAGATCCTTTCTATTGTTTTCGATTGGAAAGTGAGCATCTGGTGTGCCTGACAGGTCTTCGGACGATCGGCGTGATCACCAAATTGGATCTGATGGATGAAGGCACGGATGCCAGGGACATCCTGGAAAACAAGCTGCTTCCTCTTCGGAGAGGTAGGATTTACGTCAGACATCATCTTTCTCTTGCTCTCTTGCTGTTGTGTGTTGTTCCCACCTGTGTTTGAGAGCATGTTAAATAAACACATATCCCTTTGATATGTAGCCATTGTCACCCAGCTGTCATTTCCCTGCTGAAGTGAATCTGCAACCACTATGGCTACATGCCTTCTAAGAATCTAATATTTATCATTTAACTGCAGTGGCAAATGTAAATCCAGCACTTATCATTTTACATTGTTTTTTTATGTTGGCTGCATCTGCTAAAAGGGTATATGCCGAAATGCTTGATAAGAGCATGGAACCGTTTTAAAAAGTCTCGGAACTGCAGTGAGAGGAAGTGCTGAGGGGAAGTGTATCACTGCTGTACGGTCCTGGCAGTGTCTTTCCTTCCTGACTGGCTGAAGACCTGTCATCCCGAGTCTTTGCAGAAAATGAAATGTGAAAACAGCATGCATTGTTCTATCAAGTGTCAGTGAAATGGCACTCTCACTGAACTGCACCACTCCGGGTCTATGCCATCTTCCTAATTAATTTGTTGTAAGTCAAGCAGGCAATGATCTAGCCAGAGCCATTTAATACAAAGGATGGAAAGAGCTGGGCATTGGCCAGATGAAAATACCTGAGAATTAAACTGATGTAATTCTGAATCTACCCCAGTATCACAAACTGCAGATTAATTAAAGTACATGACCCACTGGAGTGGTAGAGCCCTGATTGAGCTTGCCTTTGTAGGCTACATTGGGGTGGTGAACCGCAGCCAGAAGGACATAGATGGGAAGAAGGACATCAAAGCCGCCCTTGCAGCCGAGAGGAAGTTCTTCCTGTCTCACCCGGCTTACAGGCACATGGCAGACCGCATGGGCACCTCTCACCTGCAGAAGACTCTCAATCAGGTAAGACAGGGAGGGCACAGGCCAGTCCACCTAGCAGATGACAACCTTCTTATTCTCCAAGTTAAGGTTACAGTGGACTGGTAGTACTTTAAACATGCTGTGAAGTTGTATTCAGGCTCAAGAGTTAGGATAATATTCTGAAAAATCTTTAAAAAACCTAAAGAACACGCTGTGACATTCACTCGGTCTTACTATAAGAAACTCAGTGGATATATTTCTGGTGGGGTACCTCCAAACCAGCACTAGGCATCTAAGTATTTTGCAAAGAGCCCTGGGTAATACACACTGACAAAAGTGTTATTTCCAGTAAATCCCAGTGATTTAACCAGGGAAGTTTGAGGCTGGTTCCCTCCTTACACCCAGGTTATTATAAATCATTTCTGGGAAAAGAACAGAAAAGGTAACTGTCACATGGCTTCGTCATCGGTACCTGCCTGTCCTCTAACTTGGCGGTGCCTGGTTTATTTTCCTGGCAGCAACTCACCAACCACATCAGGGACACCCTGCCCGCGCTGCGCAGCAAACTGCAGAGCCAGCTGCTGTCACTGGAGAAGGAGGTGGAGGAGTTCAAAAACTTCCGACCAGATGACCCCACGCGCAAAACCAAGGCCCTGCTGCAGTGAGTGGAACCCTATCCCTTACCCTGAGACTAGAGGTCATCATGCGAATCCCAAGATTCAAGCACATGTTTGAGCCTGCCTCCTTATACCCAGTCTTTTAGAATAGACAACATAAATCGTGTCATGGCCCTTTTGTTTAGATTTTGGCATTTCCCTATTAATTAACTATTGAACCCTTGCTTGCTAGTTCAAAGCACTAAAAATAATGGCTTTGTTGTTTTGGCATTTTGTGTGTTAGCAGCTGCTGGTCATGTTTTTAAGACCGGTATGGCACTGAAAGATAAACACAGAAGATGCAAAAACTGAGGGTAATGCAGACATCAGACAGGATTTTGTTTTTCTTCTTGCCTTTATTCTTCTCATGTAGTTTGAGGCTTTAGGCTGCAAACTGTGCAGCTGTATTCTGGTCTCCTTGGATTTTAAACTCTGATGATCTTAAGATGCCTTTAAAACCTGTAGCCCTCCATTAAATAAGGGAGTGTTGTTCTAACCTGTAATAGGAATAAAACTCATTCACATTTAATGCTGGCTAACCTCAATCTTGGCTATCTCAGTTAAATCTAGTTCATTGTATTATGCCACTGCTACCTAACCCTTACTCCAGTGGTTCTCAAACTGTATCACCACATACTGTATCGACTGCAGTCTTTCCTATTGAGAATTGTTTGTTTAATATCTCCCCGCATTGTCTTGATGAGAACATCACTCATCATGAATCCACTTAAATGCCCAGAACCCTTTCTTGCATAGCCTCCTGCTGCTCAGAATTACCCATGTGATAGTACAGTGTACCTATTTCTTACACACTTGGCATGTTAAATTTTATTAGCCAAGAGTCTTCCCAATTATAATTGTATCTCTCTTTTTGGACTTTCAAGGTCTTTGTTTTCTGCATGCCACAGCCTCTATCTAATTTGTGCTCTTCCAGAATCTGAAGGGACCATTGATCTAGATCAGGAAGTGCAGGAAGTCCAGAAATGAATCCTGTTGACATCATATGGTTGATCCTGTTTATTAACCAGTTTTCAATTACAACAAAAATATTAATGAGAGTAATAGTAAAATTGAGAATAATAGTAATAATAATGATGATGATGATAATGATAATATTTTTTTATGTAACTTTATTCTCAAAGTGCTTTAAAGAAAAAAAAGATACACAGTGGGAGTGTTTGAAAGGAAACAGAAGGAAAGCAAAGGAGCTGACACAGAACAAGTTAAATAAAAGCCCTTCTAAATAAGGTTTTGAGTTTAAATTGAACACAGGAAAGGTGACTCTCTGATATCCTTAGGGATAGAATTCCAGAGCTTTGGAACATAACGGAAGACACTGTCACCCATAGAGTGGCGACAGTTTTGGGGGGCAAACCAGATTAGAATTAGAAGAACGAAGGTTGTGAAGTTGGGAATCGAGATGATGGTAACTCAGATTGGTACTGAGGTACCAAGCCATGTAGAGCCTCATAGGCAGTATTTGGGTTCTTATAGCTTCTAATTTGCAAATTAATTATACAATTTAGATGTAGATTTATGCATCCATCTATTTTCTAACTGGTTCATGCATTTCAGTGTCACAGGGCAGCCAGAGCCTATCTTGGCAAGCAATGGGCAAGCGAACACAAACACACTAGCATAGACACTCATATTAGGGATAATTTTTCCCAGAAGCCAGTTAACCTACCAGAATGTCTTTGGACTATTGGAGGAAACCAGAGCACCCAGAGGGAACCCACAAAACTACAGGCAGAACATTCTGAGCAAGCAGCGCTAGCCACTGCAGCACCATGCCACCCATGAAGATTTATATCTGTCGAGAACCTATGATGCTAGTAAAATGTTGGGAGTCTTGGTTTATCTGCCCTCTGCTCTGAGTGCCTGGCAGCATTTCTGTCTGGTCAGCCATAGATGCTGCAGGGTTCTCAAAGGTCCTTTTTGTCCCCAGGATGGTGCAGCAGTTTGGCGTGGACTTCGAGAAGCGGATCGAAGGCTCAGGAGACCAAGTGGACACCGTGGAGCTCTCTGGCGGGGCGCGAATCAACCGTATCTTCCATGAGAGATTCCCCTTTGAGCTTGTCAAGGTACGTCTTCCCTCCCTGCTGTCCTGGCTGCAACCTCAATGTTCCATTTCACTCCACTTTGCAAACGCAAGATGCCCGTTATTCCTAAAATCAAGACAGGTACAGCTTGAAAGTTTTTGAACATCTATTGTAGTTCTTTACATGTTACATTTGTACTTTGTTTAATTAGATCCAGTCCTTAATTTCCTAAAAGAAAGGGTTTGTTTAGAGTAACCGATGGATGCAATTGAAAAATAAATAGTTAAATAAGTATTAGTGCAGATTCAAAAGTAAGTGAATCACAAGATTCATTCACCTAAATAATTGTGTGCTAAAATTATTGGTTACCAAGTTAATCAATCAAAGAGTCAATCACCAGGACAAAGTTTGGGGGTCTCTCTACTATATAAAGTTAAGAATCTTTGGCAATTTGGTTGTCCATTCGAAAGGGAAACTAATCTGTTAATGTTGACAGTACAATAAACATGGGGTTGTATCAAGTCTTTTGTATATCATAGTAGCGTTGTGATTGTCCTTTTTGACATATGTTGAGGGGGGTCTTATGAAAACAGGCCTCACATCAGAATGCAGAGTTTTCACATGCTGTCCTAATTCACATATTTAAGAAAGAAACGGTTGTCTCAGATTCATTTCTCATTCTGTTGGCATCAAAACCTGTTCCAGTAAAAGATGAATATTTGAAAAGCAGATTCTTCAAAGGCACATGCAAGGAAATGAAATGAAGAGACAGTGGTGCTGGGCGCTGCACTGAACTGCTGTAGATTTTAAAGTACCGAGCATTTGATGCCCTTACGGAAACATCCACAAAACTGGTCAGGTGTCCAAAAAAGCAGCTTATACTGGAAATCTTTCTGCCATTGAAAAGGCAATTCAATAAACCCCATGCTTTAATGTATCTAAACTCAGAACTACTGGACTTTGCCTGCAATAAAGTGGACGAAGGCGTCCGCACAGACCACCGCTGCCATCTATTTTGTTAGCTAATGTTCAGTCACTGGACAATGAGATAGATGAGCTACATTGTCGGATCAACACAGAAAGGGACCTGAGGGAATGCTGTGTTTATGCCTTCACTGAAACCTGGCTGAATGCATGCGTCCCGGACACCGCCATCCAGCCAAAGGGGTTCATCGTTTACCGCATTGACAGAAACCACCAAGCAACCGGCAAACACAAAGGAGGAGGCGTTTGCTTCCTGGTCAACAGCAAGTGGTGCACCGACGTGAAGGTAATCTCTAAATCCTGCTCACCGAATCTAGAACACCTGACCGTAAAATGTCGACCTTTTTATTTGCAGAGTTTTCCACCACTATTATCACAATCGTTTACATTCAACCTCAAGCCTGCGTGGAAGCAGCGCATAGCGAGCTCCACGACATTATCAACAAGCACGAAAACTCCCACCCAGAAGCTGTCTCAATTGTAGTTGGGGACTTCAACCACTGCAATCAGAGGAAAGTACTGCAAAAATACATTCAGCATGTCACTGTACCGACAAGAGGAGGCAATATTTTGGACCACTGCTACACAACAATAAAAGGAGCATACAAAGCACTTCCCAAACCGAGTTTCGGTAAGTCGGACCACATCGCTCTCCTGTTGCTTCCTGAGTACAAACGGAAGCTGAAGACCTCCCCGATTGCGAACAGGTCAGTGCGTTGTTGGTCTGAGGAGGCGGACAGCAGGTTAATAGACTGCTTTGATAGTACAGACTGGGACGCATTCAGAGCTCCCGACAGATTTAAATGAGTATACGGATGCGGTAACCAGCTATATTAAATACTGCACTGACATTTGTGTACCAGAAATGAAAATTAGGTCATTTCCCAATCAGAAACCGTGGTTCAACAACGACATTCGCAATAAAATAAAAGATAGATCCACCGCGTTCAAATTGGGGGACAAAGAGCTGTACAAGACATCACGGTATGCATTAGAGGAAGCCATAAAACGCGCCAAACGGAGCTACAGAGTGCAGCTTGAAACGCAGTGCACTGACACCCAGAGGCTGTGGCAGGGATTATAGTCAATCACAGGCTACAAGGGCTACAGCCAGGAGATTGACACGGACAACGCATCCCTGCCTGATGAGCTGAACCATTTCTATGCCCGCTTTGATGCTCTGAACACGGGCAATGCTGAGAAGACTCCAAGTTTGCAGGGCGAGTTTGTTCTGAAACTCTGAGAGCAGGACGTGCAGAAGACTCTGAGCAGGGTGAAAATCCATAAGGCTGCAGGGCCTGATGGGATACCACCTCACGTCCTGAGGACTTGTGCAGCCCAGCTGACCACAGTGTTTACGGACATCTTTAACTCCTCCCTGTCAGTCCATGGTCCGCACCTGCTTTAAAAAAAACACTATTGTTCCACTCCCCAAAAAGCAAAAGTGAAATGCCTGAATGATTACCGCCCAGTAGCATTAACATCTGTGGTGATGAAATGCCTGGAGAAGCTGGTGTTGTCACACATCAACTCCTCCATCACAGAGCCCCTGGACCCCTTGCAGTTCACCTACCAGAACAACAGATCAGTGGATGATGCTGTCTCCCTGGCTCTGCATACAGCCTTGGAACACCTGGACACTAAGAACTCGTATGTGAGAATTCTGTTTGTGGACTACAGTTCAGCATTCAGTTCCATCATACCCAGTCAACTGGTGACAAAGCTCAGGGGATTAGGTCTGTGCATCTGTGTCTGCAACTGGCTGCTGGACTTTCTTATCGAGAGACCACAGGTGGTGCGGATAGGCAATAAAACATCAACACCACTCACCCTGCACTGGAGCACTGGAACCCCACAAGGCTGCTGTCTGAGTCCAAGGTTGTACTCCCTGTTCACTCACAACTGCACAGCTAGACACAGCAACAACCGCATCATTAAGTTTGCAGATGATGCCACTATAATAGGACTGATCAGTGATGATGATGAGTCCACTTACAGGGATGAAGTCGTACAGCTGCTTAGGTGGTGTCATAGCAATAACCTGGACTTGAATGTGAAGAAAGCGAAAAAGCTAATAGTGGACTTTCGGAGACACAGGCCACACACTCACGGCCCACTCAGTATTGGTGGAACGGAAGTGGAAACAGTCACCAGCTTTAGGTTTTTGGGAATTCACATTTCTTAAGATCTGACCTGGACTGTGAACACTGACTCGATCATGAAAAAGGCTAAGCAGCGCCTTTATTTCTTGAGGTGCTTCAAGCGATGGGGGATGCCAATATATGTGCTGGTGAACTTCTACCGCTGCTCATCGAGAGCATCCTCACCAACGGGATCACCGTGTGGTATGGCAACACCTCTTCGCAAGAAAGAAAGGCACTGCAGAGAATGGTCAATATGGCCCAGATCATCGGCTGTGGTCTCACAGAGATTAAACAGCTCTATGAGGACCGCTGCCGTGGCAGAATTCTGGCCATCACAGAGGACAGTCACCACCCCGGGCATGAGCTCTTCACCCCACTGCCCTCAGGCAAGAGATATAAGAGCATACGGACACTTACCACTAGATTCTTCAATAGCTTCTATCCACAAGCAGTGAGATTGGCGAACACATTTAGCCATCCCCCTCGGACCACACCTGCACCATCACCATCTACCTCTTTATGATTTCTTATCTATTGCACATCTCCAGTCATTGTTTACACGTCTGTATTGTTTACATTTAAACTGCAAATGTTTACTTGCACATTGTCTACTGTTTGTTTGTATATTGTCTTGATTCACTGTTTGCACTTTGTTTTTTGTTTTTTACGCTTGTTTTACAATCGAGAGACTTTCTGTAAATAAGAATTCCATTGTACCAGTACCGGTTACATATGGCAATAAAGTTCAAGTTCAAGAAATAGGTCTATTAGACATGAATTTCAATGGTGCCCTATTGAGGTCAGTTGCCCATGATGGGTGTTTTTATGTGTTGGAGCAAATTTTTATTTGTGACACCTGAAGTAAAGGTTTTTTTCATCACTTGAAACAAAACCATGTCGTGTAATACGAAGAGTGCATGGCCCAAAAAAAAGAGAGAGACTGAAAAACACACTTATGGCCGAAGCGATTCCCCCAAACAGCTGTCTCTAACACAGACAATTACTTATGCCACTCAGTATGCAAAAGATTCATTCAAGCCCTTGACAAGAGTTGTGCCCTCAGGAAATATTGTTCTCAAACTGTGGTGTCTGACATTTACTAAGTTTAATAGTTTTGCATATTTAAAACATGATCTTTCAGCATATCATGTAATCTGATAATTTCAAGGGTTTCAAAAAAATTATAGTTATTTTATTTTTATTGAGGTAAATGTGGGAAATTATCGCGATATTGATTTGAGGTCATATCGCCCAGCCCTAGTATACAGGTCATATATTTTTCTTGAATAATAGTGCTTTTGGTCTGAGTTTTTTTTTTTTAATGGACACACCGTTAAAGTGAGAGATTCCTGTATATGAAAATGTATGGGTCAGCAACCCCAAAGTTCACAATCCCAGTGAAATGGGCAGCAGGTCCAGTTGGGGCTATGCCCTTGCAATGGTGTCACAGTAGGGCCACATGTAAAATAAGAGCCAGGGAATAAAGAGCTGTGCTTGCTGGGTATCTTGCAGATGGAGTTTGACGAGAAGGAACTCCGAAGAGAAATTAGCTACGCCATCAAGAACATACACGGTGTCAGGCAAGTACTCATAATGGCATGGGGCACTTGGTCATTTCTGTGCATCCATTGCTAAGCTCCTGTTTCTTTATTTAGAGTTTTGAAAACATTTAGTAAAACCTTTTAGTAGATAGAGAAATAGTTGTAAGCTCATCCCAGTCAAGAGCATTGCAAAAGTTCCATTAGAGCATGTGATTGTGTGGTACTATAGCCTTTTTTTGTTGTAAGGTTTTGATTATGTAGGCATGCACGCAGTGTATCATCACAAAATGAGCCTCACTTTAGCTGTCTACTGGTGTACACTCTTTGAATGAACCAGATTGTCATTTAGAAACTCCCATTTTCTTTTTAAATCAGCCCGTCTCTTTGTTGAAGTCATTCTCACTCCCCTTACACTGCTTCACCTCTTGAATGTTCAGAATTGTAACTCTTGCCCCTTATCCTTGTGTCTGCACTTCCGTTTCTCATCTTTTTTTTATTTTTCCCTTGATTTTAAAGCCCCTTAAGTCAGTTAACGAGCGGTGCTGTCTAAAATTAGGAGGCTGTTCAGCTGGGTAAAGCGTGGGTGAGCTGCCCTCAAGGCCTCTTGGAAGTCCAAACATCCATCTTTACAGCTCAAATTTCAATGGCCCTAGATGTCATTCAAAGCACTTTCAATTTCAATTTGTTAGATTTTAAATTAGTTTGCATCATTTTAACTAACCATTAAAGGGTTGGCCTTAATTGTTGATGGCGGTAGTCTTACAGAAAAGTACTGAATTGTAAAGCTTTAATTTGCCAAAAGATACTGATTTTGAACACAGTAGAGCCATATGACCACAGAATAACTCATTCAAGTCTCCACTGAGTTGTTGGCCAACTGTACCCTGCTGGTATGTGATAAACAGGATTTGAAACCCAAAGGGAGGGTTAGGAGAGGGGTTCCTGATCCTAGTCCTGGAGGCCCACACACCTGCTGATTTTCAGTCCAGCCCAATTTAATTGCCTAATTGAATCCTTAATTGAACTGACACATTTCGCGATTGGAATATTTGCCAGTTTTTGGTCTAATCAGAAGTTGAGTAATTTGGCATCTGAAGTAGTTAAAAGGCAATCATCCTTCATGTTTAATCCTAGGAAAAAGATAAAAACTATTATTGAGTCACTAGAGGGTTTCAGCTGTGTAACTGAGAGCTCGGCTTGGACTAAAAGCAGGACGCGGCCTTGTGTGGTCCTCCAGGACCAGGATTTGGAACCCCTGGGTTAGGGTACCCTTAGCATGCCGCATAATGACATCACTTGGGGCATGTTGCGCTCCCTTTAGCTTGAGAGCGTTGTGATCTCACTCTAGGCCTGTCATACAGCAGGCAGCTCAGATAAGGGGCTGTCCCAAAGGAGCATATGCAGTTACCAACAAATTCCAAACTGAGCAGGGGAATCTGAAAAATACTGGCAATTCATTAGAACTGCAAAGGTTAACATACAGGGTCAATTAAATTACAGAACTCGGGTGGAAGTAATTTCAAAAGAATTATTTTGTTAGGACTGACTCATCTTGCCTGTTTTCATCTGCCCAGATCTTCTAAAGGGAATTATTTGATTCCAGAAGGGTTGTTTGTCCTTTGTTTCCAACCACACCATTAGTTTTGTTGAGAACAACAGCTGGGATTCATCTTTGTTCACCAAAATTGTGAAATCTAAACCCCTTGCATCTCTCCCCCCCCTCCCCTTTCTCTTTGTCTTCTGTCTATCCTCCTCATGCTTCCTCCCCGTCCTCCTTGTTGTGTGTGCAATCAGAACGGGGCTGTTCACTCCGGACCTGGCGTTTGAAGCCATCGTGAAAAAACAGATCATTAAGCTGAAAGAGCCCTGCTTGAAATGTATCGATCTGGTCATTCAGGAGTTGATCAATACAGTCAGGCAGTGCGCCAACAAGGTATTAAGGGAGCAGAGCCCTTCAGTACAGGACCAGGGAGCAGGCTGATCACCTGTCTGCCTGGAGCTGGCACTGCCACGGCTTTCTCGTGTGGGAGGGGAGCAGGGCATATACCAGTAGGGGTAATGAGGTGCTGCTATTTTTCACATTTTGCTGCAGCATCAATCCTGGTATTTCATAGAGCTGAAATACATAGAAACCTGAACAATCCATTGTTGGATCTAAGCTCTATGTAGTATCCTAGCTCTGCTTCCTTCCAGAGCATGGTTTGAGTGGCATAGTGGGAGCCCCAGGTTGGCATGTGGCAGTGCTTGCTGGCTTTGGTTTCTTAGAAGGTGACACCTCTAGGGTGCGAACACTATACGTGTGTTTTTAAATAGTCGAAGTGCTCCCCCAAAAAACGCATACTTGCTTCCAGAGCTCCTCTCCTGCGATACATCATGAGCTCCTCCTCCTCCTCTGTGCACGACATTTCCCCAGATCCAGAAGCACGCATTTAGAGTGCTGCCTCTTCTCACTTCAAAGCCCCAGGCCCTGTAAAAAGAGCTCTGGAGAGAAAAAAAAAACATAGTCAGAGAAGTGGTGAGCTTCACCTCTTTCTCGCTTGGATTTCAGAGGAATCCAGCAGGAAGTGTTTTTACTAGAATGGCGTGTCTGTGTGTACAATGTATAACATTGTGGTTCACACAGAAACAGATTAAATAAAAGAGCTCACCCAGTAGGAAATTAAATAAGGCCCTAGCAAAACACTTAAACACGAGCAGGGTGCATCTTTTGACTATTCAGGAGGTAACCCCTATATATATAAAGGGTTTTAGACATTGTGGTTTGTATTTTGTGGAGACAGATCACCAAAACTGTAGGAATTGCTTTGAAAAGCATGATCCTTATCCTTTAAAATGTGGGTTTTGTTTACAAAACCATTGTTCCTCAAATCATTTAGCAAAATAAACAAGCAATCTAAAAATATACATTTGACCTTTTTTATCACTGGCAGTTGTCAAATAGGTAGATTGAAAATGCCATCGCAGATCAAAGCATATATAATGAAACAAAATGAAAATCGTCTTGCCAGCTTGAAGCCATGTGATTTACAATGAGGTTGACTTGATATAGACACGTGTTGTGTCTGAACTCTGTGTATGCAGTCCATACAGTGATGATTATGGGCTGTTTTTAACAGACAAGAATTCATCTGTAGTCCAGTGCTTCTGGTTAGCCTTCAAGATTTGATCCCTGCAATTTTGTGTGACTGTTTCAACTGCATGGCCATCTTCATCTCAAATTGTGGTGTTTCCACAAGATTAGAAGAACAGTTACAAACAAGAGAAGGTCATTATGTCCTTCAAAATTGTGCACAGGTGGAGAAAGCTCATGGGAGGAACTTAGTTAAGCAAGCATGCTGCATGTAATTTGATATACATGTATGTTCAAATGTTCTAGTACAGAGATGTGAATTAACTAACTAAAAATGCATTTTTGTCTTGCTATCTCTTTCTCTCTCCCATCCCTTTTTTTCCATCCATCTCTTGGCTGCATGTTCCCTTCTCCTCTGTGTGCCTGATCCAGAACTGGTCTCTTTACTCCCGATTTGGCTTTTGAAGCCATTGTGAAAAAACAGATTCTTAAACTGAAAGAGCCCAGTTTGAAATGTGTTGACCTTGTCGTCTCTGAGCTTACCGCCTTAGTCCGAAAGTGTGCAGAAAAGGTAAATAAACCACTGAGCATCCTTGACCATAAATGTCAGAAGCAAAAAAGAAAGCAAATATCCTTGATATTGTCGTGTCTGCTCCCCCATCATACCCAACATCAACCCAATACCCTGCTCTGGAAATGGCAGTTTATATCATCTGTGATTGCCAAAAAATCATCTTCCTTCCTGTTGCCTCTGTCGCCCTGATGGGTGCTTTCATGTCTGTTGCTCTGTTACGGTTTTCCTTTCCCAATAACCATTCCTTCACAAATGGCTTCTGGGAAGACCTGTCAAAGCTGATGAGTGCAAGAGGACTCTGGGAGAGGGAGCAATTTGGAAACACACTAGTCACAAGCCTGTTGAAGTTGTATGACGTGTAACAGTAAGAGATCATTCACTTTGAATAGTGTCTTCTTAGAATCTGGAGCCAGTTTCCCTGGCTGATCAGTTGTCACGATTGGCATCACCTCCCTATAAGCCACTTCTCTCTGTTTTATTTCCAAATACACTTCAACATGATTTGAGCTGACTGCCCCTTTATATGGACAGGATGCCTACCCTTTTGGACTTTCTTCAATCCATGTGTTAACACCATGTGTGAAGGGATATCTCGTTGGCTTCAAATGAGTTGAAGTGTGGAACAACTATTATGAGAAAATTCTGAAAGTGAAGTCAGACAGACATCTGTGGCTATCCTTGCAGACCTATACAGGAGAAAATATGCCTTTATGTGAATACATATGTTGAGATGTGCAGCAAGTTAGAAATGGAATGATTGCAAAAGAACAGATGGTATAAACTATGTCTTGTCCAGTCTTACGATTTAGCCTAAATCTGCTCTCGCTCTACTGTAGCTGTTTGCCTCCTGGCTTTTTATGTTCAGCTAGTTCCACTTTGATTGAAACCTGCTTCAGCATTTGACATAACAGACCATTTCCATCTAATGTTCTCACTGTAGAGTTTGGTGGAAGAAAATCACAGACCTTTTACTGAAGGAGCAAAAATGATTGAACTAGAGTTTTCTAACCCTACCTTGAATGCTTTACACGAGGTGCCACCTCACAGTTTCCGATGGATTTAGGGGATGTATTTAGCAAAAGCCTATCTTGTATCACAAGAGATCACCAAATCTGGTTCCAATAAGCACTTCTGGATTTTGAATCACTTTTTCTGCCTTCAGATTTAGTTGAAAGTGTCTACACTTTTTCCTAAGAAAGAACTTGTAATTATTTAGCTCATTAATACAATACAGAGTAGGACTAGATCAAAATATCTTTGAATTTGGTTTGTTCTTAATTAGCATTTTTTAGATCTTATCTATATTGTATATCGTATTTTATGTGCACAAGTTATCATATGACCCTTTCTCCAGTAAAAAGAGATGCTTTAACTCAACACCAGACCTGTTTGGAGGAGGAAGTCCACAAGGAAAGCAGAGTAGTGTTAAACACAACTCTTAAGCAGGGGAAGTGTATCTGTGGTACGTGTCTCATGCAACAAGGAGCCCATTTCCTTAAAACTCATTTCCCCAGTTTTAAGGGGTACAATATTAAACATGACATCCGACAGATGAAGAAGAATCAAGGCCACTTTTAAAGCAATAAGAATTGAATTTTTATTACATATTTATTTTTGATTGTTGGGAAGATATTTAAAAATGTCTAGCCAGCAGCTGATTAGCAGCCGGAGCTGTTCTTAGAAAATAGCTGGCACTTAACACACACAGGCAGTATCTCAAATAGCAGACTGCCGTCATTACTAAAGATGGGTATAATCCATTTTGCTATAGAGGAAGAGTGCTGCAGTTTTTCAGTTTTGCTCAAGTGGGTTTCAAACACTGTGGTGGACAGCTAAAGTCCACTCTGTCAGATTAAGGTTTGCTGCAACATCAGGAACATTCCACTTTGAAATAAGGGAAGTCGTCCTCTATTCTTTGCTGTGCACCATGTGCTTTAGATTTACTACACGCAACGGAGCCAGTCCAACTGGACTGGTCTCTCAAGATTGGACAGGATTGTCTTCAGTGCGCACATTCAAGGCATGGCACAATGGAACCTGCTGTGCACAATTCACAGCTCCCTCATGGCATTATGGCGCATCTTCACTATTTGGCATTTCACTATTGCTGCCAACCCAGTATTGGCACTGTAAGATTGACTTTTGACATTTGAACTTGATGCTGCAAAGGCTAAAGCCACTCAAGTTGCCATTTTTTTATCAAATGCCTGCTTATGCTGTTAGAGTCCCAGACTGACAAAGCACAGTAAACAATGGGATTGATCCAACCCAGGTTGACATGTCATGGGTAAAACAGCTGTTTCATAATATTACGCACCCTTATCTCACCTTAATTTATCATCTTTCCTTATCTGTTTGGAGAAGATTGACCAAAGAAATGTGTACAACATAACAGCTCCCTGCTTTTCACACTGCAATTCTGAAACCAACCAGCAGAATTGATGTTCTTTAGTGTAGGTCTTGCAGATCCTCAGTGCTGCCCCCCTAGATCCCCAGCTCTTTGCCTTCCTCACCTTTCAGTCCAGGTGGCAAGAGAGCAATCCTGTGCCATCACAGGGTAACAGGCCTACAGTCTTCTGGTTGTGGTATTCCTCCTTCAATCCAGTCACCTGCTCTTTGAATGATTTGCTCGTGAGCTGTAAAAACAGATGTCTTATGGTGAATCCCCCTTCTTTGTTAAATAGTTGAGGTACACATTTGTAATCTGCCTCTGACATTTGGACAGTAGAATTGTTAAATAGATCTGTCTTGCTCAAAGCCCTTGCATGACTTTTGCAACAATCCCATATGTTGTAGATGCTAGCCGTTGTAGCTGAATTCTGAATGATCTTGTTTCAGGGCAGCTAGTGCAGATAGTCTATGGTCCTCTGATCAGGAAGAAAAGTCTAATTTGTCACTGCATCTCCTCTTAAGCAAAACAAAACAGCACCAAATCTTGGCAGGACTGATTAGTTCAGCTACTGCCCTGTTGCCATCTTTGTCATAGGAATGCTGTATGCAGTGCATGATGTTAAGAAATTTTAGACTTTAAATTTTGCTTTTAACAACAACAGATTTGTACTTCATTAATGGACAGATAATAGTATAATTTTAATTTGATGCATTATAAAAAGGAGAAATCTAATAGTTTTCACAATACAAAGTATTGGACGTAGGCTTGGTCATACTAGTGTGAGGAGGGAACTGCAGTGTTTGGGGATCACATTTCTGGTAGCAGTGCTCTCTACTGGTGTCTTCTAGAACTGCACTTGCTCATTACCAATCTTTCATGACAATCAAAACTAACCACTTGCTTGGAATTGCAAAGTTGTATTTAGGCATTGTTTGGTTTATCTGCCTTTGCACAAGAGATTTTCCTTCCATGCTAAATTATTGGTCTAGTAATAATGTCTGCTCAAAAACCTGCTTGTAAAAGGTTGCAGCAGCTAGATTTCTGCAGCATTGCACAACAAATACTTCTGCACTTCTGAAGTCTTGTTTGAGGATTTTGTTCAGAGGCTGGAATGGTCTCAATCCCAGATTATTGTTTAATCTGTTAAAATGTAATGTTACCTTTGGCAAATATGAAATATTTGTATAAATATGAAATGCAATATGGGAGATTGCATGAACAAGCAGGCAATTTGCAGAAATCAGTAACCTAATTCTGGTGTTCCTGTTGTGCATCAATACTGATGTGCATGTCATTTATGTAAAGGCATATTCAGGCACATAGAATCTACTTTAGTTTTCTAGATAATTTAAATCTTCAATCTGCCATTCCAAGATGATGGTTTCTTGCAGTAGAGTGTAGGCTATTCAAGCTTCTGCATGAGATTTGAAACTAATTTACTGGTCTCTTCACCCTTATCAGCCCCATGCCTGCTGCATGCTGGCTTTCTGGCAGGAGCTTTGGTGGTTTCTCTGTGTGCTTGAGTGTGGGTTTTCTGAAGGATTCTAACATCTTTTCCTTTTCCTATACATGGCACATGACATGGACATGGCACAGCAATCACAGACTCCTGTTAGCCACAACCTTTAATGCCTATGAAACCATTAAAGGAACCTGCCAAAAAACCTATTTCAGTTCTGATTAAAGTAGTGGTTTCTGTGTTTCTGTTTCTAGTGGCTTGCTGTGTGGTGAGAATTGTAAGAATAGTTTACATATTTTAATGCGATTGCCTTTTATGCCTCGATTTGAATACTGTTAGAGGACACAAAACAGTTTGTGCACCATCAAGTGCAGTAAATTTAGGTTACTTTCAGTCATGGCAATGGAGGAATACTTCATTAGTTTCAGCATTCGAATACTTCCATTACCGAATGTTTTAAATGTTTCTAACACGGTTTCTGTGACTAAAACCCTGGCAATCCAGAGATCTCAAGTGTCCTCAGGGAATCAGCAGTGTGGCTTCTGTGCAGGAGAGTGATCACTGTGCTCTGGCCCTTGGGGGGGGGGCGTCATGGTGAGGAGGTAGAGCACCATCTTGGGAGGGTGCAGAGACCGCATCTCTTGGTTCGTCCCTCTCTCGTCCTTTCTTGCAGCTCGGCTCGTACCCCAAGCTGCGGGAGGAGACCGAAAGGATCGTCACCACCTATGTGCGCGAGAGGGAAGGCAAGACCAAGGATCAGGTGAGTCCTGGGAGAAGTTAGAGGTTGGAGGTATGGTCATCAGGTTATCACTGGGCCAGCAGGCAAACAGTCCTTAAGCTTGATCTCACCAGATCACTGAAGCTCAGTAGCTGTGGGCCTGGTAACAAGTATCCCATTTTACACTTTGTACTTTAGGGTGAGGCTCTGGCTTGCCTTGACCGTCTGTGTGATAAGCAGGTTCCTACAACAGTGATTATGGATGGACTTTATCCAGCTCAGTACTTTGTCACCTTATCTGCTGTGTAGCTGAGCCTCTGCTGTACAACCAATTCTGGGCTGTCCCAGTGTTAGGTGTACCCCAGTGGGAGATTATCCATTAGCATGAAGCGTAGGCAGAATTGTCACTAACAGTTTATTAATTTGGAGATCTCATCCAGATGTTTCTTAAAGGATGCTGGACAATCTGCTTCTGCAAAATGGCTGCAACATGGCTGGCTCAATACCCAAACCCAACCTTAAAGAAAGGAAGTTGGCAGAATAATCAGAATAGTTATAACATCAAAGTGCCTTTAAAAGCAATTGTCTCAAAGGCATCCTCTGATCCATACCCGAATATTTTAACCATTTTATCAGCAGCCCTGTAAGTGCAGGATGTCACTATAACACACTGTATTGTTATAATAACAGATAAAATATATTTTCTAATAGTTTATAATATCTAAAGTGTTAGATATACTTCTTTGATCTAGGAATGTCTTGTAAAAAAGGGGGCAGGGCTTATTCTTCATTACTGCTGCTTGCTAGTTGCTGTGTGAAGATTTAGGCTGACGTTAATCACTTTCACCTGTAAAACCTGAAGGCTGAATTTGCACGAGAATTTACTCCCATATAGAAGTCCTCGAGGTCTCTCCTGGTACAATTCCTTACATCAGAGGTGTTGTGGAAGATTAAATAACATGCATGACAACTGCCAAGATACACTAAACCAGACAAAATCCCCCTTGAATGTGACTTTGCCATCATAGCCATTTCATGGATTTATGAGTTTTTCCTTCCCTTACAGGTGCTGCTGCTTATTGATATTGAGCTTTCCTACATCAATACCAACCACGAGGATTTCATTGGATTTGCAAAGTATGTAGCCCCCTCTCCCTCAGATCCTTGTTTTAGCATCAGTGTAGGCAAAAGTTTGAATGTGGGGTCATTTCCTAAGCTTATTTATTATAGATATTTGCATATTCTTACACTACAAAATACTATACTGTTATCACAGTACAAAAATATCATATATTGTACACTTTTATATAAGCTCTTTTTTTCAGTTCAGATCCTATTGCAGACAATACAGACCTATTGTTTGAAACACTGGCAAGCAATGTAACTTGGACAAGTATTACCGAGCCTTTATCCTGGAGAATCCCAATTCGACAGCTCTTATGGATTACCCTTGAATCATAATTTTCTAGAAGTTTGGAAGTTATCCTTTTGATCAGAGAAACAGATGGTTTGTTAAACAGTTTTGAGATCACTTGAAGTGAAAACAGAAACACCCTTTAGCTCTCAAGAATTGCAGTAGCCCTTCCTGGCTTAGTTGAAGCAAGTAAATTGACCTCAAAATCTGTTTTAAATTGATGGTTTAAGGTGATCATTAAGATCTGCTGGATTGCAGCTCTCCCAGGATCAAGGTTAGACATTCCTACTTTAGGAGATTGCATTACTTATTCATCACTCATGCCTCCAGGTTTAGTAGATCTGTGGATCCCTAGATAAGAATATGACTCCTTTCAAAAATGTCATCACTCCTTTTTAGATGTCTGGCTGATCTTTGGGAAGCAGAATGGAACAAGCTATTGGTGCTGTGCTTTAGAGTGCAGTTGCAGTTTGTGTTTGTAGGTGGATTTTGTCCAGGATCCTAAATTTACAAAAAAATCTTACTAAATTCTTGTGGTTCGTGAGCCAGACTTTTTGAGTAGTCATATGTATGCAAAGGTGTTTTTGTGCACAATAGTAAGTTGTAAATTCCAGTAAAGTTAAAACCCATGAACTCATGATAAAGAATAATCTTGACCTCTAACGCTTCATTAAATAGCTAAGTCTAAAGGTTGATCTATAAAAAAAATCAAAAGTAGAAAATACCTGTCTTGTATGCATACTGAATCTATTTGGTAAGACAAACCACATTTCAGACTTTAGCAGTCCCTTAATCAGCCTTGGCAGTTGCTTCTTTGACCTGAGTTTTAAACAAGAGTCTTGATTTGTTTAAACAAGAGCCATATCTTTTGATATGAGTCAAAAGCTGCTGGAAATTGTCTCATATCATGCCCTTTCCTAACTCCATGTCTAACTTGGTAATGGTCTGAATGAGGAAGTAGCTTGAATTCTTAATGCTGCATAAAAACAAAGGTACAATACTTAAAATCTACTTTGAACAAGACGTTGTTTAAAACAAAATCAGACATAGTTCCACCTTTGACATGAGCAGGTGTCTGTTTGAAAAGTAAAGATTCACTTTAGTTTCCCTGAGCCTGTTGGGCAGACTCACACTGAGCCATCTGCAGCTACTGAATATTAGATTTCTTTGTTTCGCTTTGTGTTTGCACGGGTTTGAGGAGGGATTGGTTTGTAAAACGTTATAATGCTTTTGTCATCACAGCACCTTAATTCAAATTAATCTGCAGTTGAAGGATTGTATAACTTTTATTGTTCTGTTTTAGGTGAGGATCTAATCAGAAAAGGCATTTTAAGGGCTTTTAGGTTTCTAGTTTGCCTTTTTTTCATTAGGCCAGCTTAGGAGACTACCAAGGAAAGATCAGATCAGGATGAAATCACTAATCAGGATGTCTGATGCTGCTATGGTTAGATCAAGTAGATCAGATCAAGTTCTGTATTTCTTCATTGGCCAGTGTTTCACATCTCAAATAATTTTAGGCAGCTGTGTGCAGGGGTGCTTAGGGCTCTGGACTGGTAATTGGAAGGTTATGTGTTCAAATTCCAGATGGAGCGCAGCTATTGTACCCCTTTGATAATTTTCTTAGGATTGTATCAGCTTCACTTACCTCAGTTAAACTTGTAGCTGTATAAACAGGTATGAATGTAAAAGCATTAGCTTGATGTTGATCTTTCTATTTTTCCTGTGGAAATTCCCAGTCCGTATGTCCCGGTCAGTCTTAATTCAGCATTAAAATTAAAGGTGATTGGTTCATTTTAGATTGATGTCTTACTACTGGATGAAGGCTGCAAAGTTAATCAAAGTTAATTTGGGGGCAGCTTGTTCATTTGTATAGGTGTAGGTTTCTACTGAATTACTGACTCATCAGCGCTAATCCTCGCAAACCTAACCCCGGACATTTTGAGCTTTTTTGCTTAGGTAGAGTGGGGATGATATACATTATGGCAGATCGTAATGTATAGCACACCAGCTGGTAGCTTTGCTCATCCAGCTACCATCCATGCATCCATTTGTTTGGCTGGTTTTTGATGCCTGTGCTTGAGCATGGATAAAAATAAGCCCTGTCATGTTAATTCTCTTGTGACATCACTTTCAGTCTAGATTTACAGAAGTTCAGAAAGCTGGAAGAGAATTTCAACCCAGGGTATCCAAACAGGTGGGCTCTTGGCGCTCCCAAGGAATTCCATATCTGCCAGCTCCTACTTCAACATTTTTTTTAAATGATTAGGACTTAGACTTTTTTATATACGTTCACAGCTGCCTTTTTTTCCTGCGTTTGTGAAATGATGCATGTCTTTCCCCCCCCCCCCCTTCTGATCTTTCTTCCACCCTCACCCAGCGCCCAGCAGAGAAACACTCACGTCAACAAGAAGAGAGCCATCCCTAACCAGGTACCTCTCCGGTCTGCTGCGGCCCACTTCCTCACCGACTGTCTCTTTAACACTGGAGTATAAAAAAGGGAACATCCAGAGTTGTGGCTCCATTCTTCTGCCATTACAATGTTTTGTTGTAGGGCTAATTATGGAGTTAATTCTCATCATCTCAGTTAGGATGTTTATGGTCACCTCACTCCTGGTGCCTGATCCTGTCTTGACAGCCCCCTGGCGTCTCTGACAGAGGGGTATAGGGAACCCTAGCAAGTGCTTTCGCTCCTAAGCTAACACCTCTGTCGGTGAGCTTTTCAGTCTCCTACTCGCTGGTTGACTGTCTGTTCTCATCGCCTTGCTTGGGTTTCCCTTAGCCAGCTTCACATCAAGAGGAAATGGTGTTATGTCAGAGGAAAGCCACATTTCCCAAAGTTGCCTGTTCCAAGTTGGCACCCATTTGCAGATCTTGGCTGGAGCCCCTCAGAGGGTAACTGGCAAATCCTGTGGACTAGTTCAAGAGCACCAAGCCTATTCCATGCTCAGACCCTTAATATGTTACATATACCTGTATACTTTCTGTACATGTTGTGGGATATATTTTTTTATACAGCTCCAATTGCATGATTGTAACCCATTTTTCTTTAGCAGATGTGACAGGTTAATAGTGGGGAAGATGTTTAATGATACAGAATGGACATGGTCTTTTTACACCGAGCAGCGTTTTTTCATACTGAACACTCTTGCGGACATTAAAAGATTTGCATTTTCCATCTTGAACCTAAGACTGTGGTCTAACTTGGTTCGTTAAACCCGGAGTAAGTGTTTAAGATAATCTGGTTTTACTTTGCTGCTGTTGGAATCATTCTGCACCCCATAGTAACCCTAAATTAATCTCTTTGCTGTGTTATTTAACCAGATGTTTTTTTAATTATTATTTGCATGAATCAAGCTATTAATGTGCATACGAAGGTGCCAGCAGTGCAAGTAACAATCTTGAAGAGGAAATGGCATTAACAAATGTGATGATGATCTAATTGCATGTAACTTCTTTTGTTTTCTGTCGCTCTTTCTCCCACCTCCCTCTTCCTCTTTTCTGTTTTCTCATTCCTCACCTAATGCCTCTGCATGCTGCCTTCCTCCCCTCCTCTCTCTTCTGTGCTCTCTACTCTCTCTCTCCTCTCTTGCATGCTTGCTCTTCCTCTCCCATAATCTCCCTCGATCCAACGTCACCCCCCACCTCCCCACTCTTTGCCACTTTCTGCGAAAAAGGGTGAAATCCTGGTAAGTACCCCCGAGACGTCCACGTATGTCTTGTCCCTGTTAGGAGATCCTCATGATGGACAGCAGGGTCAGCCCTCGGCAGAGAGGCTAGAGCCATGTGGGGCAGCTGGACCCGATTAATGGGGCAGGCTGGATTTGAAATGCACATTGAGGCAGACGTGCTCATTGTTTCTGTTGGACCACTTGTGAGAGCCCTGCTCTAAAAAATACCACGCCTGCACAGCTTGCATGGAACAAAGTGGATAATAGATAGGCTTAACGCTTATGGGGTTCTACCTGAAGTCAGTTTTACAGCTAGTACTCCCTGTAGAGTGATTGTTTGGAGTGTTGGTTGGACTGCATCCATTCCTATGATGACCAGGGGTGTTTTACACTAGCGGATCGCCCCCCTCATGCCTGGCAGGCCACCCGTAAACTAGCAGTGTTAATCGGGGAGCAGCTCTCCTCCTGATTCCAGAGCTCTGCTCCTCTAAAACAGAAGCAGAAATTCCTAAACATCCGTAGTAAAAAAAAAACTGCCAACTCCAAACTGGAGAAAGGAAATACATAAAACATAGTCTCTGTGATGAATATACTTAAAGACTAGGAAATATGCTGCTTGGGGAAAAACAACAAGAGGAGAACAGTTTTTGGCTGTGAAACCAGAGCTTTGCATATGTCGGTAATGGAAGAGCCTGGAGGCCTCAACTGGGGTGATCTCGCTTTCCAGCTTCACTAAGCTCCTGATTGGAAGCCATCTTTTGTAATGTAATCGAAGAGTATCAGACAGAACACTCTTGCTCTGTGCTCTTCGAGAGCACAGACCTGCATTTTTAAGCCCAAACCTCATGCAATTTTAAAACCACAAAACCAGAATTCATATTAGCATAGGTGTTAATTGCCATATTAATTGGAAAGGACAATTTGATCTTCAGGTTATGAGCTCATTATTCCAGCAAGCTCAGTTTATTTTCTGGCATATACACCATTTTAAAATAAATTAGTAAATTCTTAAGAGTGAACTTGGGTGTTCTCATATACATTTGACTGTTGTGGTTGTAGCACACTGAGATCCAGTATCTAGCTTTATATTTCTGTATCTTGCGCTTGGACAGCCCTTTGCAGTTTTCTTTAGCTGGTGTCAGTTTCTCTCACAAGACTCAGTGCAGGAAATGAGACATCTTTGTTCTCTGTTGGGCAGCCTGGCCGTCAGGTCACTGGAGCAACAAAAGCCAACAAAGGAGACGAGGTATTTGGTAAGCAGGGTGTGGCCTTGTGATGACATTCCCCTTATTCTAAATTCCACAGGGACCCATGCTTGGCCAGGTGTATTGAACCACCAACCGACCGCATGGTGTTTTAAGGCCTCCAAAAGAATCTGTTGGCAATAACAGATATACATTTTAGTAGTTATTTCACCGTTAATCTAATTGATCTTTAGTTATCAACTTTGAGGGAAAAAGCAGTCAAAATGGCATGACTAATAAATGACCGTCCTCATTTTTGTTTTGTAACTTAATTGGTGTATATTTAATCTCAAATTGATTTGCAGCAATACTGCTTAAACTGGTGTGATATGAATTTTTATTGAGTCCAAGTTTAACCCGGCTCTGTATTTTTTAGTGATCAAAGACCAACAGGAGCAGTGCTGATAAAGTATTCCTGTTATAAATGACATTTTAATTAATTAACTGCAAGATTAAGATGGTCAAAACCTCTTTGAACCTTTGGCTTTAAAGAGCTGATGAGCACTGCTGTTGGAGATACTTCTCCATTTCTAATCTAATCATTTTAAACCCAGAAGCTTAATGTTCTCAATGTCAAGAGCATCACTTGGCCACCCTACCTCCTTTCCTTGTGTTTGACTGCTGTGAGGCCTGAACACCTGAATGGAAATGCTCACTTCAAAAACAGCTTAAAGGAGGCTGGGAGCCCAGCGTACAGATGTGACCCCTGGGCACTTTTCCCAATTTAACCATGTCTTATTATAGTTGGTTACCAAACTGTGAAGAATAATGGACTTTTCAGGATTTGTCTTGTGAAGTTCTACTGGATTGTCATAAACAATACTTACGCCCTTCTGTAGGTTTTACCGCTAGGCATGTCCCCCCAAAAAAGCACCTTTAAAGTTGCTGATCTGATGGTAATAATGTCACACCATATCATCCTCCTGTCATTTTTCAAATTAGGATATGGGTAGTCCCATGTGCATCGCTCCCAGAGAATCAAAATAGTTTGCTCTTTCTTATCACTTTGCACATTTGTTCTTCTTGCTTACTGTTTGACATTTATTATAGTCATGTATTGGCCATCTGTTTATTTTTAGGCTACCTACAGGACAGCAACAGCATCAAACGCCACTACTTGTACAGCAACTTGGTCCAGATTAACAACCAGAGCAGCAGCAGCCAGAAACATTTCTGAGCATTACGATGCATGTTACCCTCTCAACCTCTTTGCAAAGATGTTTGCTGGAAAGAAATGCTAGTAAACTGGTGACCATAAAGTGGAATAAGGCTATTTCTGTGGTATTTATTTCTGGCCTACAGTACTGTAATAACTAATTTAGGAGTACTTTCATTCAGAATTAATTTAATTTTGTGAGGTGACAGCTTCATTTACACTTTTTTCTGTCTAGGGTATCTGTGGGATTGGCTAGATGTAGTGGTTCAAATATACATGTTCTCCTTCTCATCCTAAACAGACATAAATGTGAATTGATATCCCCCTCAAAGTTGCCCTTACTCTCCCTTTCATTTAGTCCTTCTACCATCTTTGTTAACACTTTTTGATGGCCTGGTGTGACATCATCATCATGCGCCACTTCAGTCACTAGTGTGACATAGTCATGTGCTACAGATAATGCAGATGTTTAATCAAGCTCTAGTACCAAAGACTTGGCATTATTTTTATCTGATAAGTAACAAATGTGATTAATCCTTTCTGGACATGTTTAGAAAGGATAACCAAACAATAAGATGTATATTACAGTATGCCACCATTAATGAAAAAGCAGGCTTTTTCAAACTTTACTACAGTTGGTACCTCAAATCCCTTTGAGATAAATACTCATAATGAAAGATACTTTGTTTTAAATGTAAATTTGCCTATTATGTGCTGACCCTGGGAGTATCCTGGTCATTGTTAGTGATATGTCTTGAATTGCCCAGGGGCTGTGTAAAAATTATTTTAATCAGTTTTGTTCTAGTAAAATAACAGAAAATTATTCAGATTTGCCACATTAGAGACCTAGGGTCAAGAGTAACACTGATGCAGAAACCAGTTCCTAGGTTTACCAACAAGCAGTAGGAGATGTAGTTCTACCTGCCTTTTGCTCTGACTTTTTGAATGAGCTTCCTTGGCGTGATCCGTTTTTAATTGTAGAATTTTCTGCTTTCTCTGATCTCTGGTCTGCTCTGCTATGAGATTCAAAGACTTCTGCCTCTTTACTTTCTAAGGAATTCATTTTTCTTTTTACTGCACTGTTTGTGCATGTGTGTTACACCTAAAAGCAGTTAGAAGAATGTGCAGATAAAAAAGGACTTTTATGTTTCTGATTTTAAATTGCAGGGATTGAGATCAGTATGCATTGTCAGTGTATGCTTCGTTCTGTGCAAAGAACAGGACAGAATCACTACATTTTTGCTTTGTCGTTAGAGTATGGTGTGTCTTTTAAGTGACTTTAAGTGATTTTAGAATGATGGATATTTCAGCTGTTTCGCTTCAAACCTTTTTAAAAACATCTGAAGACAATAGCTTTAAAGTCACTGGATCTCAGTGTGGCTTCGTGTTACAGTACAGCTTAAATAGGTTCAGATATGTGGCAATGACATCCACACACGTTAATTTAAGAGGCAATCACAAGGTATGGAATCAAGCTCTAGTCTGTTGTAATAATCTCACCTCTTAATAAATCCAAATATCCTCTGTTAACATTACCTTGTGACTTAAAAAGCTGCTTTTATAAATAGAAATACATAAAAATGTTTTTTGGGGAAAAAAAGGTTCATTCTTTATCAATAAAGCCGTATAAGGTGTTTTCAATTTGTTTGATATGACTTATAACATCCTTTTTAGGATTAAAAAATGAATTTAAATGAGTGGGATGATGAAATAATTGAGGAGAGCTTTAGGGGTGCTTTTACATTGCTTAAGATCACTGAAACAAAACAAGTTTGGAAATGGATAGAGTGGGTAATGTGATGCAAAGCTTCCAAGTTTCTTAGTGAGAACATCCACCTTACCCCTAATGGAGTTTCTTCACTCTTGTTCAGTACTGGTTCTGCCCCCATTTCTGAGGCCTTGGTTCCCCTGCGCTAAGTGAATCCCTGCTGTCCATCGCTGTGGGTCTGGTTACAGGTTTGCCTTGTGATTTGTGACAGATGTTGAATTTCCATGGGGAGTGGTGCGCAAAAACAAGAAAATTGGAAAACAAACATTTTCCTTTTGTGTGTGTCTGGTTGTTGATTTCCTTTGAAATCTGGGTCCCAAGGAGGAAAGAGGAAAATTTATTTTCAGATTTGATCTTTAGATTCTTACATGTAGGATATCTACTCTCTCCACAGTTTTTTTTTAAGAGGTGGCTGTTTTCCCACCTAACCTTTACCGCTTTACTGGTATTAGTGGTCTGGAAATCTCTTGTGATTGTCGGTCCTAAAGTAAAGGGTGATTATGTAGTTCAGATCTAGAAATTCCAAACCTTAAGGTTTCATTTTTTTAGAGAATATGTTTTCTTCTGAAGTGTAGTGTTAAATATCTGGATGAAAAAAGCTAAAAGGGATTAGACTCTATTGTCTTCGTATGAAATGTCAGCCGTGGATTAGTCAGACAGACCTGTTCCAGCAAAGAAAGGGTACAGTTCTGAAAGATTCCTCCAGGCTCTACAACTTCTGGAAGAGAATGAGTGAGATGTGCCTTTTGCCATTGGCTGAACCCTTAGTATGTTTCAACAGTGAAAATAATTTACGGATACCGATTTGCTCAAGCTTAGTTTACTTCCCTGCTTCAGATTTTTTATTTCT